CACACATGGTGCAGCAGGTCCTTCAGCGCTTCGGCTTCACGTACTCCTCGCCTCAGGCCACTCCTCTGTCTACTCGCCACTCGCTCTCAGCTCTGCCTTCGGATGAGTCCGTAGAGTCGAGTGGCCCGTACCCAGAGCTTGTTGGCTGCCTCATGTACCTGATGACCTGCACACGACCTGACCTTGCATACCCTCTTAGCATTCTGGCACGCTATGTTGCTCCTGGGAGACACAGACCAGAGCACATGGCTGCAGCGAAGAGGGTGTTGCGCTACTTGTGCAGTACGTCGGGCATGGGGCTAGTGCTTGGAGGGCGGAGTCCAGTGGTCCTCACTGGGCACGCGGACGCTTCTTGGGCTGACGACCAGGCTACGCAGCGGTCGTCACAGGGTTACACCTTCAGCCTTGGTTCCGGCTCTGTTTCGTGGCGGGCTACTCGCTCGTCTTCTGTTCTTGGCTCGAGTTGTGAGGCTGAGATCTACGCCGGGGCCATGGCTGCACAGGAGCTTCGCTGGCTCACCTACCTGCTGACCGACCTTGGAGAGCCGCCTCGTTCTCCTCCAGTCCTGTACGTAGACAACAAGGCCATGCTGGCCTTGTGTCGAGAGCAGCGACTGGAGCACAGAACAAAGCACATTGCTCTCCGCTACTTCCTTGCTCGTGAGCTACAGCAACGTGGTCAGTTGCGGCTTGCGTACGTGGCCTCTGAGGCCAACACTGCTGATGTCTTCACCAAGGCACTTCCACCTTGTGATCATCAGCGCTTCTGCACTCAGCTGGGTCTTGTGCCCGTCTTGCCTCACTTGCTCTCCTCTTGACCTTGCCTGTACTCTCACATATATATATACCTGCTCTTGCTTGTCTAGTTTTCTATATATGTGTGTACTCTTGCATGTGAACTGGCCGTGTGGCCTTGACCCTGTGCTCGGACTGTGTGGTGACTTTGTGATCCACCCTGAGCTTGCTTTGCTTTACTTTGCTTGACTGGTCTTGTGACCCCTTGTTCTCCCCCACTTTGCCTATGGGGGTGTGTCAGAACATTATAGCTTATGCTGTTGTGTAGGCTATAGTGGGGTATCCCATAGGGGGTACAACCAATTAGGGTTTCATATTTGTACTCACTTCATTTCATAGTTCACTCATTCTTGTTCAAATCTTCTCAGGTCCTGGTCGGCGGCCTCCCCAACAGCGCAGCGGCACCGAATGTCGTTGCGGCGCAAGGCACGGCGAACCCACCCCACGGAGCAGCGGAAGGTAGGCGGTAGGTCCATTCCGCATGCCATGGTCGCAACGTGGTCGCGGATAGTAATCAAGGTGAGCGGCACACCCGCGGGCCCGGCGTTGCGAATCCAGCGCACCATAGCCTGCTCAAGCTGCGGATATGCGCCGCCACGCACGCGGACGGGGTTATCGTCGTTGGAGACGGCGCTCCAACGGTCGGCTCCTTTGAGCACGCGACCAATGGTCGAGCGATCAGGGCGGACGCCGAAACGGGTAAAGCACCAGCGCGCCAGGTCGACCTGGCGCATGCGGGGGTTACTGACATGATGGGCACAGATTGCCCTCTTAATGTGCACGGGAACCTGAGAGCGGCGAAACAGGCGAGGCATGTTGGTGGCTAAACTGGTGAGTAAGTCTGTGTGTTGGCCTAATTTGCGTGCCAATTTATGCCCAAGTGCCAGTGCTCGGCTAACTCAATGTCGCGTGTGTTTCTTCGCGGCGCCGTAGGGGGATGGGGCAACATTCAGTCGAGTGAATGTTGCCACATTTGGGCATGTAACACTTTTTAGCGGAGTGAATATTACCGGAATCGTGTTTGTTACTCGCACATGTATCAGTAACCACAGCGGGTGACGTGTGCATAACTGCACTTTGTGGACACTGTTGGGCTTCTATCCAACCTCGGCAATGTACACGTGGCGGTGCTAGGGCGAATTGGGTACGAGCAGGTGCACGATGAGCCGCATCGACGTGGCGTACAGTCATGGGCGAAATTGTGCGCGACGTCAAAACTCACTCCGCCACATTTTTCGCGAAGTCTGTCTCTGGCCTCAAAACAGGAATACCCAGGGGCGACGTCTCTTGTCATTAAGCACATGTGTAATTTTTGTCTTCTGGCCACCCACATACAAGTGGCCCATGCGCTTATAAACAGGGTGCAACTGCCCGGGGAAAAAAACACGGGGGCAGACTTTCTTTTTTGGGCAGGTCAATTTCGCGCGCAGGGGTTGAGCATCTTGTGTACTGAAAACGCAAAGCGCAGCACTGTAGCTTCTGGCGCAGGGTTTCTGCCAGTTCTTCGCTCATAGCGCAGAACTAGGGCGTGGGTCCAATCGAGTTTGATCGCCTCGATCACATGCGATCAACAATTTCTAGGAAGCCTGGAAGATAATTTTATGCAATCAGGGGCAATCAGCTGATCGCGATCAACTGATCGCCCCAACTCAATCAAACACGATTTTCACCCCGATCAAAGTCGATTTTCCTCGATCACAGGCGATCACCTGATTGCATGTGATCGGGGCCCACAGCGACGCTTGCGAGTAGTTACACTGTTAAAATTACATGGAAACGAAAACTTTCGTCAGGTGACATCTGGTCGCCAATCTCGCTAGAATGGGGACGAAAATGCGACGTAAATGTATAGCGCTTGCTCCGCAGGCGCTGGGAATCTTCTTTGAAAAACATCTCTGATCGGGCGGCTCGGGCTTTGTGATCGCAAGCAACCCGATCAGATCCGACCCGATCATATCAACGCGATCAAACTCGATTGGGCCCACACCCTTAGCTCCTTCCAACGCAGTTCGATGGTCATTGGACCACCTGTCAGAACGCTAGAGGCCAACTGGTTTTACTATTAGTGAGAACAGTAACTCTTTATTCTGGGTTTTTACCTGCTCGAAAATGAAAAAATCCATGGAGAGAGGTCATCAACCTTAAACACCCAATATATGGTGTTTAGGGTTGATGAATCCTTTGGTGCTGCCATCGAAACATAATACACATCGCGTACAATTGAACCGATTGTTTGGCCAATGATGAATGAACTGCGTTGAAAGGAGCTAATTCTGCGCTATGAGCGAAAAACTGGCAAAAAAGTTGCGCCAGAAGCTACAGTGCTGCGCTTATGGCGAATAGTTTCAGTAAGTGTGCGTGATCAACTCAAAACCCCAACAAAGATCATCTCGACCTCTACAGCCAGCCACCGCATCACCATCCTTTCCGTGCTGACGCACAAGAAAGGCGGAACGGCTGCAATTTTCCACCCTGCGAACCAGCACTGTCCCTTCACACACCAGAACGACAGCCCTGCTTGGCCGTTCGCTTCACGTACCCGTATCTTCGAATGTAAGGGCGTGTTACATTTTTCATTTTTTTCGTCCGGCGGGCCAACCGTCCGGACGGTTGTGTGGTTATGAAACTCGTTAAAGCTCGGCAGTAATTTCGTCAGGGTCTAAACGACGTCGCGTTCTTCGTTCTGCCTCCTTACGACATCGCGTTGGTCGCAACGCGACCTTGCGACGTCGCAATCTTCGCACGCGTCCGGACAGCCGTCCGGACTTTCAGCGACTTTGGAAAATGTAACACGCCCTAAAACACCTCACAAATGTAAGGACGTGTCTCAGGACGTGTCTCATGTGAAGGGTCCGCTGGATCTGGTCCGTGACCAGAATCTACACGCCTGGTCCGGGGTTCTGGTCCGACGGACCCACTTGGCGGACCAGCGTTGGACCAGACACGGACTGGTCTGCCTGATGCGTCGCGCTTTTGTCTGCACAGTATTTGCGAGATGCAGCAGTAGCGACGAATTTGAGATTGAGTTACCCATTTTCTTCGTCTGCACAAAAATCTTACGCGAAACTTGCAAAACAAGAAATTTCGCCAAAACAAATGTTTCCCCACCCACTGTTTACGGACCAGGCGCGGACTGGTCTGGAGGGCCAAATAAATGGCACCGTTTTAGTGCCATTCGAACGGTATAACGGGGTTACAGGCCCCACACCCTGGTCCCGGTCCGCCCTGGTTCACGCGCTGGTTCTTTAGCTGGTCCGTCAGGTCCGAGCCGGACCCACGTGGAATCAGACATCTGAGACACCTTCTCACTTTGGCTGGTCCGCCAGGCCGCCCAAACCTGGTCCGTCCCTGAAATTGTGCCTACAGAAATACCCTGGACTGGTCCATCGGACCAGGGTGGACCAACCGAGTGAACCAGCTTCGGACTCATTGTTGTTGGGTCCGCAGATCCACTCTACAGTAGCGTGTAGGCGAGAGAAACTGGGTTACCATGACGCAAGACTGTACAGTACACTTGCGCAGCTTCTCCCTGACGCGTGTGGGCGCCAAAATTTTGCGACAGAGAGAGGTGATTTCGTGAGTGTTCGCCAATACTATGACTGTTCAGGGGTCCGACGTGGACCAGCTCGCTGAACCTGGATATCCTCCCCATTCTAGTCCCTTTCGCCCGCTAAAACGAGGGTGCTGGTTTGCTACACCCACGGTCCACACTGCTCAGGGAGCCGGTCCATGCTCCGATGTGGTTTGGTGGACTGGTCCCCATCGACCGCATAGAGCCAGGGTGGACCGAGGGATTTGAGACGCCTTCTAAAGGACTAGATACCAATCCGTAATGGTATTGCACATATCAAAAGCACTTCTAGAGCGCATACATCTATGTTTAGGAATGGCCATATCACACCACAACGCTGCTAGAGTTTCACCTTGAATGGGTTTAGTTTAGTGTATAAATCACCATAAGTGCAGAAGAGCGACAAATTGATGCAGAAATAGATGGATGGAGTAATTTGTCTAGGCATTGATTGCAAAAGTGATTTTTTTTTAGGGCACAGTGCCAAATCATGGATGAAACACAAATAGAGAAATGAACTCACTCCCAACAGACCCTTCCATCCAGCACACCCAGGCCTAGAACCCCACTATCTTACTGCATCAATCCCTCCCTCCCACAACATCCCAACAGACACAAAACCACACCTCCTAACTCACTCTGCATCCGCATCCTCCCCACCACCACCACCACCACCACCACCTCCCTCTTTGGGCCCATCCTGCGCCGCCATGTGCCTCTGCACCAGCCGCTGCAGGTCCGACATCACCTTGTGCTCCCTCTTCGCCTTCTCCTCATAGTTAAACATCGCCAGCGCCCTCTTATCCTCCGCACTGTACACCTGGTTCTCCTTTCGGATACGGATAGCATTCATCCTCTGATGCCTGCTTCCACTCATCACATACCCGAGCTCTTCAAACTTGGAAATCTCGTCTGCCGACAAACCCACCTCACCACGACGGGGAATACGCTTCCCTTGCTGCACGTACTGCGCAATGGCGTCTCCTTCTCCGGGACGCAGCGCCCCTCCGTAGCTGATGTGCCCCTCCGCCTTGGCCGCGGGCGCGGGACCCACAAACGGCTCAGCTTCCATGGCGGCGAGCTGTGCGCGCTTCTGCTCTTCCACGTACTGCTTGAACAGGAGCACTTCAGGGTCCATCTCCTCATCGTCCTCGCCACCTCCCCCTTCCTCGTCCGCCTCCTCCTCCTCCTCCTCCTCCTCCTCCTCCTCCTCCTCCTCCTCCTCCTCCTCCTCCTCCTCCTCCTCGCCCTTCTCGCTTCCGCTCTTCCTCCCCGCTTTGCCCGCTTTCCTCGCGCGCTTCTTGGCCCCTCCGTCGCTCTCGTCGCCCCCGTCGCTGGACGACTCGTCCTCGCTCGAGCTCTCGCTCTCTTCGTCCTCGGATTCGGATTCCTCTGACGACGAATCATGACGGCTGCGACGTCGCCGCCTGCTGCCCTTGCTGCTGCTCCGCCCTTTCCGCTTCTTCTTGCTCTCCTTCTTACTCCGTTTCTTCCCTCGCTTTGACTTCTTGCTGCTACTTTTCCGCTTCTTCCCCTTCCCTTTTTTCTTCCGCCTGTCCACTTCCGAATCGCTACTCTCATCGTCACTCTCTTCATCACTCTCCCCATCACTGCTATCACTGTCCTCCGACCGCTTCCGACCCTTGCCCTTGCCTTTCACGCCGACTCCATCCTGCTTCTCCTTCCTCTTTTTCGCGAGCCGTTCATCGTCCGACGAACCGCCCTCTCCGCTTTCCTTCCCGTTCTCCAACGCCTCTTTCACTCCGCCGCTCGCCCCCTGCTTAGCACCCTTGTCCTCCTTACTTTCGCCGCCGCCTCCCTTTGCATCCCCCACTTCATCCTTCTTATCTCGTTCCCCGACCGCATGCACATCCCCGTTTGTCAATCCGTCCTGCTCCCTCTCCTTCCCCGCATCCCCACACCTCCGTTCACCATCACTTTTATCCCTCTCGTCGTCCTCCGATTCGCTCCTGCTGCCGCCCTTCGCATGCCCGTTCGCTTCCGCCGGCGGCGCAGGAATCGGCGGGCGATCCCGGGGCGGGCTGGGAGTGATGCGCCAGAGCAGGCGGCGGTGCAGGCGGCGCATCTTCTCGCGCTTCTTGCACCGAAACTCCGAGTACTCTAGCCCCTGCAGCTCCGGGTCGTTCTTATCCTCAAGCTCCTCCCAGTCATCGTCGCGGCTCGCCGTCCAGTGGTTGTCGCGACGACCTTCCCCGTGGTGCGAACGCGAGTCGCGATGGTAGTCGTCGTGCGAGTGCGAGTGGGAGGAGTCGCGATAGCGGTCGCGGCTACCGCTATCATGCCACGTGTCCGTGCCCATGAGATCGATCCGTTTAACGAGAACCGGAGGTTGCTAAAACTGTCACACGTAAATTAATTATGTGAAATGGTCGAAATGATCGGGACACTCGGACAAACACGACGCCGAACCTGTAGTTTGCTAAGAGAAAAGATGGACAAGGTTAAAGTTACGGGGAAATGAGATGAGTGGGGAGATGGTGGGTGGGAAAGGCGGGAAATGCAACCACGCGTGGATGGGATGCGGGGACGCGGGAGATGGGGGAGAGGGGAGAGGGGAAGCGAGTGGCGAGTGGCGGAAGGGGGATGGCAGTGCTGCGGCCTCTGCAATAACTCCGCAGGCGACCAAATGTCCTAAGAAATATGATAAATGCGGTGGTAATGAGAGTTACACCTGTACTTCACGCGGGTCTTCTTTTGAAGCGAATGAATGACCAACACAACGCGCCCCAAACAAGAACAGGAAACCTGCTGGTTCATTATTTTTTATGTAGCTAATTCTGGATTTTGCTTGCATAACTGCTCCAAGGTACTCACATCCCTTGCCTGATGGGTCTCTATTCGGTTGGTGTGTGACGTGTCTGTTGGGGGTGCACGTAGGTACCTGTACTTGACTAGACGAGCCTGCTCCTTGGTTGATTATTCTGCCTGGTTTGGTTGTGTACCGTACCATACCTCCGTACCTCCGCGTACTTCATTATACCTTGCAGTACCTTACAATACCTCAGCATCCATTATCAGAATTATGAAGGCATAGCACAAGCTATATTTGCCTTGCTACAACTGCTACTGCTGCTTTTGCTAGCGCTGTTGCCTCCAGATGACTTGCAAACCCGAACAGATACTCTCCCTGTGCACGCCCCCGCAAAGTGACGGCTGTGCGGCATGGAGGGGGTCAGTGTAAGCAGTGCAGTGCAGGTAGCTGCGTGGAAGGGGGAGAGGGACGAGGGAGAAGGGGTGAAGGAAAAGGTGGGGAAACATCGTAGGTCATTACCGCAAGCAGAGGGACTGAAATGGCATTAGGAAATGAGCAAGCAAGGAAAAGATCTTGCAAGGGAAGGTGACATGAATTTGATACGATCTGAGCCCAATCATTAATTGAGGGGTTACCTGAGGGCGCGCCTGAGAGGGTACCTGGACTGGCACCTGAGGCGGTATTCATGTGTGTGTGTGCATGCATGAAAGCACGTGAGCGTGTGTGCTCATGGGAATGCACATGCCCGCGTGAATACAAGGAAGAAGATATGCTCACCCATGCGTGTGCCGTTTCCTCCTCCGCCATCCTCCTTCCGCCCTTCTCCCGACCTCCCTCCGCCCCCCTCCCACCCTCCGCCTCCAGCCCCTAGTGTCCACAAGCCAGCACGTGAGCCTATTTGCTTGCGCCCCTCAATACCTCGTCGATCCGGAGGTGTTGACCCTCGCAGCAGCGAAGCACACACAAGACAGGAGCAAGCACACAGGAGGGTGCGTCAGAAGCATCAAAGGAGACGGACTGAGAAGAGAGTTACTTGAGGTCTAAGACTTGCCGCACGGCGACCTACTAGACTCTTCTGCCCCCCCCCAAGAGACCAGCCCTACGACTTACAGTACTGCTGCACGCCGCACTGCACCTCCCTAAGAAGCACCACCCCTTGGCGTGACTGTTGCTGTGCCCTTGGTCCTCAGTGCAGGAGGCGCCAGCACCACAGCAGCGAATACAGCACAGAAACGAGCGTAGAGGAGAGAAAGGTCGCGTCAGAAGCAGCAGTGGAAACAGACTCGAGAGAAGCAGAAAACAATTCTAAGACTTGCCGCACGGCGACCTACTAGACTCTTTTTGCCCCCCCATTAGACCCGCCCTACGACTTACAGGTGAGCCATGCTCGAAGCCATGTGGTGACGATCCTCCCTTGCTCAGCACCTTTTCGAGAAGCACCATCCCTTGGCATGCCTGTCGCTGTGGCCTTAGGTTTCAGTGCAGTGCAGGAGGCACCAGCACCACAGCAGCAGGCACAGCACAGACACGAGCACAGAGGAGAGTGCGTCAGAAGCAGCAAAAAAAGCGGACTTATAATCGACAAAAATCGATTTTAAGACTTGCCGCGCGGCGACCTAGACACTTGTGGCCCCCCCAATAGATCCGCCCAACAACGTACCGTACTGCCATGGAAAGCCATGTGGTGCAGATGCTCTTTCGCAGCACATGAAAACGGAGGGACAGAATAAGGCGCTAAGACTTGCCGCGCGGCGACCTAGACACCTGTGCCCCCCCCAAGTAGACCCGCCCAACAAAGTACCGTAGTGCCATGGCGAGCCGTTTTGCGAGCTTGTGGTTTTGGGTCCTCCCTCGCACAGCACCCTTTGACGAGAATGTTGTTCTGTGCTTGGGCCTCAGTGCAGGAGGCACCGGCACCACAGCAGCAAACACAGCACAGACACGAGCAGAGAGAGGAGTGCGTTAGAAGCAGCAGGAAAACCGGACTCTTAAGCAACAGAATTTAATTCTAAGACTTGCCGCGCGGCGACCTAGACTCTTCTGTCCCCCCAGTAGGCCCGCCCAACGACTTACTGTGCTGCCATGCTGAGCCATGTGGTGAGGATGCTCGCTCACAGCACATCTTTGTGAGAAGCACCTCCCCTTGGCCTGAATGCCTGCTGTTCTAGCACTCCCTGGGTCTGACTGCCGAAGGCACCGGCACCACAGCAGCAGACACAGCACAGACACGAGCACAGAGGAGAGTGCGTTAGAAGCAGCAGCGAAGACATATTTGAAAGAAACAAAAATCTTTTCTAAGACTTGCCGCACGGCGACCTAGACAGTTCTTACCCCCCCCGACAGATGTGGCCAACAGCTTACCGTGCTGCTGCAAAGTGACACAGCTTCTCTCCTCTCCCCCTTCTCCCTGAAGCTGCTGCTGCTGCTGCTCGAAAGTCGTTCACCCGACCCTTTTTGGCTCCTCTCCTGGCCCATCGCACAAACACAACTCCCAAAGCAGAGCAGCCAGCACAGCAGAAAAACAAGCACAGAGGAGAGTGCGTCAGGAGCAACAGAGAACCGGACTCAAACAAAACCGAAATTGTTTCCAAGACTTGCCGCGCGGCGACCTAGACTGCTCTGTCCCCCAAAGATCCGCCCAACCTGAGATCCGTACCGGCACAGCACTTCCCGCGGGCAAGCCTGTGCGCATGTGAATGCCTCTCAATGACGGAGGCGCCCGGACCGAATCCGCTGCACAGGGCACAGCAACAGCACGGAAACGAGCACAGAGAAGAGTGTGCCTGAGAAGCAGCAGTGGAAAGAGACTCGGAAAAGATTTGAATTCAGGCCTGAGACTTGCCGCACGGCGACCTAGACAGCTATGCTTCCCACCTGATCGACTCGGCCAACTTACTCACCGTGCTACCATGGTGAGGCAGAGTCCGAGTCGCCCAGTAGTCGATTGGTTACTGGATGGAAGGGCCCCTCTCCGCCACGCCTTGGCAGGACTGCTGACGTGTCCGTGGGCCTCTCAGTCAAGGGCCCCACAACAACCCCAGCGAGCACAGCACAGGAACAAGCACACAAGAGAATGTGTCAGAATCAGGATAGGAACCGGACTCAAAGAAACCGAAATTCTGATTCTAAGACTTGCCGCATGGCGACCTAGACAGCTACGCTCCCCCCGGATAGACTTGGCCAATTCACTCACCGTGCTGCGATGATGACGTAGATTCCGAGACGCGTCAGCCGCGGGATGACTCCTGGCAGAGCTCTCCCTGAGATGCAATGCACGGCCACTTGGCAGGATTGTTGACGCGCGCTTGGGCCTCTCAGTCACGGAGCCCCGCCAACCAGAGCAGCCAACACAGCACAGCAACAAGTGCACAAGAGAGTGCATCAGAATCATAATAGGAAACGGACTCAAGGAAAACAGAAATTGATTCTAAGACTTGCCGCGCGGCGACCTAGACTGTGTCTGCGCCCCCCCACTTGCCCTCCGTACGTACACACCTTTACATGCCGCTATGACGTAGGTCCCTCGCGCTGCTGATTCGACCGCTCTTGCTCCTGCTGCTCCTGCTCCGATAAGGCGCTGCTACTGCACCTCCCGTGCTCCATCCCTCGACACACATAGCGCATACGAGCAGAGACGGCAGGAGATTGCAAAGATGCGTCAGAGCAGCACGGAAACAAGGACGACGGAAAGCAAGAGCAGCTGACGCGGCGGACTACTCCTACGCGGCGGACTACTCCTACGCGGCGGACTACTAGGTCCTACGCTCTCCCCGCTCTTGCGCTGCGCGCACACGCACCTTCGCGTGCCGCTCTGGCGTTGTCAGCGTGCTTCAAATCCGCTCTGCTGACGTCAGCGTGCGTCGAATCCGCGTGCAGTCAAACACAACTGCACAGTTGCTACCCGCAGTTGACACCCGTTGCTGCTGGGCTGAACCCGCGTCGCCGCTCTCTCAGACGCTGCTGCTCTCAGGTCGATCGTTCACCCCTCTGCTGCCACTGCCTAGCCACCGTCGGTTCCACGCACGTGTTGCTCTGCTTTCCGCCGTGCTGTATCCTTCGCGGTCATTTCTCGAAGCAAACCTCGCGAACGGCAGCGAAACAAGTGAAACGGAGTGAACGGTAACCCGGCAAACAACCGCGTCGGCGAACGGCTGCAGCTGTGCTGAAGGCAGCGATAATCCACGAGCGACAGTAGCTGCGCGAAAGGCAGCGACACTCCGCTAACGGCAACAACTGTGCGGAAAGTAGCGACACTCCGCGACCGGAAGCTCCTGTGCGAAAGGCAGCGATACTCGGCGAAAGGCTCAGGCTGTGCGAAAGGCAGGGATACTCGGCGAACGGCAGCAGCTGTGCGAAAGGCAGGGATACTCGGCGAACGGCAGTAGTTGTGCGAAAGGCCGGGTCACTAGGTGAACGGCACCAAAAGGTGGCAACTGCTAGCAGAATCCGGCAAATAAGAGCGAAACTTGGCGAACGACGGGAGCACGCAGAGATCACCGCGAACGGCGGAACCAAATTTTGCTAACTTGAGCGACACTCAGACAAACTCGGCAACCGACTGCGAAAGCCGACGGCAGGCGAAATCGTCAGGTGGTTTTAAGCCGCAAGTATGTTGCAAATTCGTCGTACGTCACGGGAATGCTTTCTGACAGTCGCTACTCCATTCTCCAACTTCGAACCAGTGATCAAGGTCGCTGATCAATCCTGCGCCTTTGGACCGCGTACTAAGGTCGATAATCTATCCTACATCGCTAATCCCTCCTGCGTATTAGAGCCACGTAGTATGACTGCAGTCTATTCTCCAACCGAACACATTCTGCACTTGTATCTTGGCTCAGGATCGAACCAGAACAGACGAGTCGCGACGCTAGCTAATGTCTAAGGTGGAACGTAATAGACGAGTCGAAGAATAATTTCGTACCCAAAATCATGCATGCTACCGTCGCTCCAGGCGGATTCACCTCTACTAGCTAAAGAGGAGTTGCGGAGTCTTGCTAGAGTTGCGGAATTGAACGCTGGCCGACAATGGGAAGCTGTGAGAGTTGTGGCTGGGGAGGAGAATTGCTTGAAACAGGCGTAGGAAGCACTGACTGCTGGTGGGGAGGGAAGCTTGGTGTCAGAGGCAGCACCTCTGACGAAAATTGGCGGCAAAATCGAGGCACAACAAAATCGGATCGGACTTACCGTGACGAACCTTTTGGCACTTTTTGGGTTGCGTAGCAACCCTATACACCTGTTCTCCGATATTTCCACACCCTGAACTTTGATTCTTCCCAGACACCCTACATGGTTGAAGGTTTGATGAGACGGACGCCCTGACATTGCGGGTCTATCAGGAAATAACCACCAGGTCAAGGCCTTTCGAAACTCGAACTTTGTAGTTCGAGTGAGCGGGGAAAATTCCAGTGCCAGATTGTTCCTGCGTTAAGCTCGCATTGAGATTGTGCTACATTAACCCTGAAAATTCTTCGAGCGTTGCTAACTACCTTCGAAATCGGATTTTTCGAGGGTAGGTACCCCAGGTCGTGAAGATAAAGGGTGTGGAAATATCGGAGAAGAGGTGTACATTTGGTAGCACTTTTCGGTCGACTCGAATGAACAGTGCAGTTTTTGTCATTTTCCCAACGTTTAAAGCCCTCGTTTTAACGTTTTCAAAACGAGTGCTCCAAAGTTGTGGACATGACGAAAGCACTGACACAAGAGTCCCCCAAAAATGAAACCAAATGTAACATTTCATTCCATAATCGTCGGTAAATACGGCGAATGGAACAATCGGTCGTCACGAAACACAATTGACGAGAAACATCCACTGGACGTGAACGCAAATCATGTGCAGCGCATCCATTGATCACGTGCAAAAACAATACACAACAACTAAGAGCGAATGCTAAAATGCATGGATGCTACAACAGAGATGGTTCCGGTATGCTAAGGCGAGCAACGCTGCCCCAACAACGATCCCCACCTCAAATGCAGACCCGACAAACTTTAACATCACACCTCAGTTGCATAACACGTGCAAAAATAACACAAACTGTGAAGAAATGAGGAATGAATGATGAACTAGGAAATGAGTTGGGTACAAATATGCAACCCTAGAAAGCTGTACCCCATACTGTCTACCCCACTACAGCCTAGAAAGACTATAGCATATAAGTTTGACACACCCCCATAAGCAAAGTGGGGGAGAACAAGGGGTCACAAGACCAGTCAAGCACAGCACAGCAAGCTCAGGGTGGATCACAACGTCACCACACATTCTGAGCACAAGTTCAAGGGCCACAAGACCAGTTCACATGCAGAGATATATCTATAAAGTTAAACATGCAAGTGCAAGTATGTATAGGTCAAAGTACAAGCAAGGTCAAGAAGTGAGCAAGTGAGGCAAAGTAGGTACAAGACCTAACAGAGTACAGAAGCGCTGATGATCACAAGGCGCGAGTGCCTTGGTGA